GAAGGGATCACTCTTTTCATTTCTGAAGGAAAAAAAATATGGTGGGAAAATTTCATGGGTGAATGCAGTTTCGTACGTTTCGTTAAAAGTCACCTTGAAGTAAAGAGCATTTTAAATCTGTTAAATTCACAGTACAAATGGAATTTATTATAAAAGATCATTCAGTGTCAATTTATGTAATAATAAGGTAATAGTTGTTATATGGTATGCGTTGGTAGTTATTTATAATGATTAAGTTACATGATTATCATGTTTTCATCTCAACTTTCTCAGGAATTCGGTATTGCAAAATACTTATTCACTTCAAAATAAAATGCAGTAATTCAATAAAATAATTAAGTTTCAGTTTAAAATACGGCATTAGTATTGAAGAATGCAAAAGAACATGGCCATCAATAAAATTCGTTGATCATTTAGCAAACACTGATACAAACTAAAAAGCATGTTTGTTTGTTTAATTGAAGACGGCAGTGCACATAAAGTCATTCGGAGGTCTATGGGAAAATATATCTTCATTGAGGACATTTTATTCGAAAATGGCCAAGAAGAGAACAAGCAGAAACCACACACACACACACACACATATACAACAACTAAAAAAAAAAAAAAAAAGATGAAACTCGTTTGGTCATATTCGAACCTGGGTCAAACTACCAGTGTTAGTATTTTTAATCACTGAACAGTTGATCGACATTCAATAGAATGTAATTATAAATAATACATTAATATTTGGATTCAAATAAATTATTGCTTTGGACAGTCATTAGGATTTTTTTGCTGCTGCAGATGTGAGAAATGCGCAGTGTCCTCGTCAGGTTTCGAACTCCAGACCTCCCAAATACGCGTCAAGTGTGCTTCCGGTTACACCACGAAGACATACGGGAAAGAAAAAGAAAATACCTTATAGTGTAAATGAAAACAAAAGGTAAAGTATTTCCCTTTGCACTTTAATTCTTGATAATTTTCCCATGCAACAGCCATGAAAAATGGAATTATTGTGAAATATATAAACATGAATTTCAGTCACATTCTCATTATAGAGATATTATTTTAATTTGACATTTTTCATCTGTAAGTACTTCTTTAAGTCCATCACATTGCTAAATGTGTTAAGAAACTTTAAATGCCCCAATTTATTATTTCTTCATCTCGATAGCATAAAGAAAATGAATGAAGTTTGTAATACGTAGTTACAGCAGCTTTGCTCTACATGTTGTAAGGCTATTATTAGTATTATTAAATAAATAGTCTTGTTTTATTTTGAATTGTTAAGTCTTTTATTTTCGTCTAATTCATAACTGCTTCTTGAAGAAGAGAAGATTACTTTTTAATCTAGAAAACTACTTTTATATGTGACTTTTCGTCTTAAGCGCTTGTTAGATAGACTCTGCCTTTAATTTTATGTTATGAGCATCAGAACTCAGTTGAAATTGGCAGTTGCTGCGATCAGAGGAGCACTCGATTTTAAACAACATTAACATTTTTAACGTTAAAATAAAATTTAAGACGTTAAAAACTAAAGAAACAACTTACTCATATTTAAAATTTTCGGAAAGGGTTTTTTTCATTAAACCTACTCTAGTTAACAGAGTCTTTAAAATAAATTAAGTACGGACGATACTATTCATCAACTTAAGAAAAGACAATAGTTGCATAATATTTGGAAAACTTATTTACAAAATTTTGAGACTTGTAAAACTACAACGAACTCATTAGGTCACATGACGGTTGGATCAGTTAGACAATGCTAAATTACGCGAGTTTCATGGTTAATTAGAAATTATTATCCGGAGTTGGTCAATTGCTGCGGATGCCTCAGTTGATCTCTTCCGCGCAGGGAAATCTTGGATTTGAAAATCAGCCGGGCCTCAGTTCTTTGTGAAATCATCTTCAATATTTTTATCTTTAATTATCGCAACAGCATATAATGCCAAAATTTTTGTTTTAGTTCCAACACACTTATAAAATTTTGGACTATTAGAAACTGGAAAAAGAATCTTGCATATACTTTCAAATATTAAATAAAACCTTAATGAATTAAAATATATTAGAACTTCAGGAAGCATAATTCACAAAGCCCACGTCAGGAAAAATGTCTTTAATACCAAGTTATATTGCAGCTTTCAACGGAACTGAGATAGGTGCGTGAGATTTCCATGACACTAGGGAATCTATATCTGCATTTTACTATCCGCGTATAACTCAAACAGACTCAAGCAAAAAAGAGGAATGAAAGGCATAATAATTGATTGATTCAATGGCAACCAAGTTCAGATATTTTATGGTCATATGTATTGCGGAGAGAATTGTAATTACCCGTTATGACGCTTCAGCGTTGGGTGCAGCGACCTATCCAGCCACTTTCAATTTTTGTCGCATGGATCATTGCCTTCGCATAACGGCACACGAAAGGTTATCTCCAAACTGCCTTCAACGTTTCTATCCATGGTTCGTAGGTTTAAAAAGACGCTGACTGTAATAAAAAATACCTCCTTGTTTCAATTAAAGCAACTTAACAATTGGATAACTTAGACAGTACAAGTAGAATCGTACTAGTATATTTCGTACATTTAACGCTCTTTCTCTTTCTTTCAGTGAATTTAGTGTCATGTCTAGTAACTTTTCCTCACTTCGAACACTTTTTTTTTAATCAGACATCTATATACATTACAAATTTCCCACCTCTAAGAAATTTTTTTGCGACAAAAAATAGTTTGGTTTAACGTAGCTAAATGTAAAATAAATGCTAAAAATCTTCCTTTGTAATTTTTTATTTATAACTCATAATTACGCTGCTGGCATTTATTATTATTTGCATCTGTTTTTTGAATGTGAGAAAATATTTTCAAAACTGAGTAGCGGTTAGAATAAATTATTACGTGAATTTTCTTAAAAAAAAGCTGATTTGTTTTTCTTTCATTTTTAGATTTCTGAATTAATAAGATTCTCTGCAAGGAATGACGAAACGCTTTTTAAAAACTCAATTCACCGACACCTAAATGTTCCCCAAGTCTTTTTGTATCATCATTTAATCTTTCATTACCCTGTTTTGTCATATGTTATTTTAATAATCACTGTTTTCTTTGTCTAACTGATGTTTAATATAATGTATAATTTTTGTATTACATGCTTTTTGTAAAATAAAATAAAATGAAGGCAAATACTTCTCTGAGTGCTCTCAGAGGCTAATTTATGGAATAATGATAGTAGATATTGCGAGGGGCTCCGAATTCTAAGGGGCCCTCAAATCATTAATTAATTTTCAAGAAATACTTAATATGTCCTGCGTTTAAACAAAAAGGAACTTTCCAAAAATTCAAGGAGAATAATTCTAACTTCGCAAATAGTTCTCTGACTGTGATTAAAAATTAGATTCTGATTAAAATGATATAAAACGGATTTTCCATATTAGTATCTATCATATAAAATTTTAAATTATTTAAAAACGCTCAAGACTATTAACTTATAATATGTATATAATAATGAAAACTGCATCACAGAATAGGAAATAAAAAATAAAATTCTGATAATTAATAACAATTTAGAGGGGAAAATGTCTGTTGAATTTTTACATATATTAGTGCTTTAATTTTATGAATATTACAGAAGTTCTTAATTGATATTGTTTTTTTTACATGGCGAAACATTTGAAAATTTGACGTAAGACATTTAAAAACCTTGCTCCAATCGTGAAAGTGTAAATCATAAATATCCAGGCGAAAATCAGTGAGGTGGTGTGGTGGTGTATTTAATTATGGCAAAGCTCACTAGGGCTATCTGCCTAAGGGGAGGGATGCCTTTCGTGGAGGACTTTCTAAGGGAAACTGGCTCGTATACACGTTACACATGGGGAAAACCACGAAAACGCCCATGCAGCCAGCCCGTTCGCGGGATTCGAACCTCGGACCGAACTACCAGTGTTCAGCGTCTTTACCGCTCGGCCGCTGGTGGGCCACCGAAAATCACTGAGTCAGAAGAATAAAATGTATACTAAGAAACATAACAGGAAAGACTATTCTAAAATAAGTTTCTTTATGCAAATGTAAAACAAATCTAAATAAAAGTGTAGTCAAGGCCGCTGTCATTTTAACCAGGATGATTGATCTCAAATTTCCAGTAATATGGTGTGTTTTATAGTCGTAATGCTTTGTCAAAATTCTTTTGGCCCTTCATAAATATTTTCCATGAAGGATAAAGACCCTGCATAAATATTTATTTTCACCTAAAATAAAATAAAATTATTTATAATTAAATATACGAGTAGAAATGAAATGAAAATAACGTAAATGCTTTATTCGATTATTATACCTTCCTGAGACCTTTTCATCTTTTCCCTAAAATCTAAATACGGAAAGTTAAAATTAGTATAATAAAATAATTGTAAATGCTTTTCTTTTCTTATTAATTTTCTTAAATTTATATTTATTTTGGCATAATATAAATATTTTGCCACTTATAAGACTCAGCAACACGTGAGTCACTTGTGTTTCCATTAGATAGAGAAATCATGACATTTTACCACGCCGTAAGTAAATTCGATAATTTATCAGTAAAATGCAATTGAATAACGAAAATTTAAGAATAACTGAGTAATAAATATGCGTACAATTTAACTACTTTAAATTCTAATGATATTGATTTTAATTTAACATTTAATACTGTTTAAAAATATTTGAATTAACATGAGCTGAAATACAAACACTCAATTATTCGCATTTAATGCTACTCATTAATTAGTAAGTTTGCCTGTAAATTAACCACTGTTCCATTCAAATTCGAAGACATGCAATATCATATGAAAGCAGTCTCCACATACTGACTTCCGACCTCAAAATGACACCACAGATCCCATAGCCGAAAGGTTGCATGCTCCAATGGACCTAACGAATCGCGCTCAGGAAACCTCGACCTTATGCCTAAGTTGTGACGTCATGCATGGACCTTCCTGAGCTGTTGCTTCTAAGTGTATACGAAGCATTGCACCAGCTCTGAACTCCTCATCAGACGAAGCAGCAGTATCACTCTGTCGGTGTTCTCTTGGGATACGTTAAGAAGCGCTTCTGATTAATTGACTTTTAGGATTTCCTTGACTTGAGTTATAAGGTTCTTTCGTCTCCCCTTCTATTGGAGAAAGGCGCTCTTTTCGCAGATTTGCGATAAAAAGTTCGCTTAGGAATGTAAGTAATTTTATGTACGTTTTTAATTAATTTGTGCTCTACTATTCAGTGACGGTCAATATGGAATTGATTCCATTATTTTTTTTTCTTATGAATTTATTGGTTTTCTATCTTGAAAGCTTCTGTCATTTTCACTCATTCAGTCATCATCCTTTCTGTGGAAATATAAGAAAAATTAATTTTATGCATATTTTTAATTACTTAGTGTTCTATTCAGTGATGGCCAATATGGAATTCTATTAATTTTTTATACCGAATTTTATTAGTTTTTTACCCCTGAAAGCTTCTGTCATTTTCATTCCTTCAGTCATCCTCCTTTCTGTGAAAATATCAGAAAAATTAAGTTGGCAGAGCTAAACTAAAAAACATTTTTACGGTTATATAAAAAATATCTTAGTTAAGCTATTTTGAAAACATTAATTGAATGTTATATTGTTTACAAGTGAGACAGCCAGAAAACTTCAATTAAAGCATCAACATATACAGCTTCAAGAAAATATTGGGGAGCATTATTCAAAAAATAATTTAAAAACTTCATAACATATATGCATACACATATATGCATATATATATATATATATGTACATAAATGTATAAATATATATAGATATGTATGTATGTATATATATATATATGATGAAAGCAAATTTAAAGAAACAAGATCCATTTTTAAAGTCTAAAAAGGTTTTGAAATTCCAGAAAAATTTAATTAATTTTGAGCTAAATACATAAGTAAATAAATAAATAATAATCAATTATTTAATAATTTCCAATAGGAAACTATAATAAAATGCATGTACTAAATCATGTAAAAAAAGATATGGAATATGAAAATTTAAAATGCACAAAATTCGAAATATTTTTATTTACCACGTTGGTTCAATCTTAAATTTAATTCTTAAAAATTTTTTAATTAATTTCCAATCCGTAAATTTTTAGAATTTTGTGGAATTTAATTTTTATTATTGCATATCATTTTTTACATGATATTTCATTTAAAGTTTTGATAGTTATGTAGTATAAATGAGGAGTAAACATAGTTAGTTACTTGCATCATAGAATGAGAAGATCATTAAACGGTGATTTCGAGTGTAGTTTAAACTGTTTCCAAAGACGAATTACATTTTTGGCAGCTGTAATAAAAACTGTTGAATAGGTAAAATACTCTAATTCTGTTCGTTTAAAAAATTCGATGGGTGATATTTTAGCTTTAGCATTTAATTGTAAAATTAACCTGATTGCGTTTAATATTATCATTTTTCAAATTGGCATTTAAGCACTTTCACAAGTTTTGCTGTATTTTGAAAGAACATGGGAAGGAATCATATTTTTGATACATAAATCCTTAATTACCTAGCTGCATATTTTACATTCTAGATTTAGAAGTATTTGCTTTGAGTTATTAAATTGTTTGCGTTGAAAACTATTGGGCATTCCTCATCTGGTGAGTTTTTCATTTCATCTCGTTTCATCAAATATTAGTCAATGCTCGTGAGCAAATGTGTGCTAGCTAGATAATATTATATTTATTTACTTTAACTGATGATTAAGTTGAAGATCAACGATATCAAATTGAAGGGATTTTTTTTAAGTGTTTCATTGCTAGAAATATAAATACTTACGTCTCGTAGATCGTACTTGGAAATGCAAGAAAAAAATGCGGGCAGATGTGGTACCTTAACAGAAAGTAATTTAAATAAGCCTTGTTTTCGTTCCACATTCTGTATTGAGTAGAACTGTAAGAATTATAAACCGATTAAACTTCAAAGCAGATATTTTTTAATTTTTTTAGTTGAAACATTACTATGAGATTAATGTAAACTTATCTTGCTGACTTATTCTTAAAGAAGCAATCATCATCCATAAAAATTAGATAAGTTAAAAAATTTGTATTGGATAATCTTAAAAACGTGAGTTACGATGTTGTCATTTAAAACAAACTAAGAAAAACTGCTATTACTAGATTAGAAGTGATATTTTGAAGTTTATAGTAACATTAAGGCTAATGACGGATGAAAATTACATTTTTACCCCAATGTGATTTGGTTGCTTGCTGAGCGATAATATAAAAACAATTAATAATCAATGAAGTCAGAGTAATTTAAAATATTGAAGTACTCAGTGAACTGGAAAACAGCGTTTTGAATACCTTGACTAAATTTCATAAATGCAAGCGAAGAGCATTTTTATACATCTACTTGATTGAGTATGATTAAGTCTAAATCTTTAATTAAATAAGAAAAAATAAACTTTTGCCACATTTATTATACGTCTTATAAGATTTGAAGACGGAAAGATTTTCTAAAATGGTAGTTCTTCAGCATCCAGTATATAAAATAATATTAATACTTATTATTATTCAAAATATAATTTTTCTGAAGTTTTCTGTGTTTTCCATTGTATAATATAAATGCAATTAGATTGCAAATAAGTAATTTGATTACTAAGAATATAAAACTGAAAAAATAGATGTTTCCATAGAATGCAAACATTATAAAAAGGTTTAAATTTATACTAATAATAAGGATTTTAATTAATGTTATCCGCCCAGTGCTCAGAGAAAACTTAAAGGATTTGTATATGTCAAATGACGTACTTGCACAGGTTTTATATATGTTATTCGTAAAAGCTGTATATAGTTTTACTTCTTTAAATACTAATTCCATTTGTGTATGTCAAACAAAATTTTTTTCAAATTAAAGTAGATAATTTATGAAAACAGTTTCAAGGGGTAGAGAGGGTCTATGAATGAAAATTCTACCTTCTTTATGTAATCGTCAAAAAACAAAAAGTGCAGCTGGTGAAATTTTTTCTTTCTTAAATACAGTATAAAACATATGTAAAATTCGCAGTCATGTCAGTAATTAATAGCTTCATTAGGCTAACTATGAAGTTTTTAAAGAATACTGCTTTACTCAATGAGAAATCATTAATTTCGAAAAACAACAACTTACGTTTTGAAGTTTCCTTCTAAATCTGTTTGAAATCACTTAAGAATAGGATGAGAAAAAGAGATCTACATCAGTATATTTTTTCTCTAGTATGTACGTGAATAAGCATGAAAATATGTGGAGCTTTTCATATTTAACTCACTATGAATATTTCAGTGACTGGGTTTCTTTGCTCTTCGGGAAGCGTATATAACGTTAAATTTTGCATTTACAGAGCTCTTTTGTCATTATAATAAAATTCCCTGCATTATTTTTGTAAATACGTTGTTAAAGAAACAGCCTTCTTTTTTTGAACCACAAGTATAGGATTCGTTAAAGAATATTAAACGTAATAAGAGAGTTAGTGTTTAGGAGATCTCCTGTGTTACGTATGGAAGAATAGTCATGTACTGGAACTGATATCCATCATATGGGGGGGGGTAGCGTGAACTTCTTATGTTTAACAGTCGCTATAAGCTATTTTAACTCCTTTGTATATTTGTTTGCTTGCGCGTAACTAACATAATCTTACAGTTATGCTTGTTGCATACAAGTACAGTGATTATGCAAGGAAGTTTCTCATTCTAAACCCCGTACTTTCGTTGCGAAAGCACGTTCAGCTAAAATCGGCAACTCTGCTCAAACCCAGGCAAGGGCACGGCTGATTTTTCATGTTTCAGGCTCCGATATAAACTTAATGCCTTTGGAAGTATGAAAGAGAAAGCATGCAAATAGAATTCTTGAGAGAAAGAAAAAGTGGTGAATGATAAAACAAAAAATTCCCTTTGGCTGAACTTTCATCTTAGACATCACGAGAGTTAGAAGAGAGCTTTTGCTAATATAAAATAGTGTTCTTTTCCATTTATTATATTTCAAAGTTTCATGGTGTAGTTAACATTTTCGTAACGCTGTTTAGTTGAAAAACAAAGCCTATCGCATAAAATTTCAATTAACACTAGTCTTTGTATTTCGCCTATTTATTACTCGCAGCACAAAGCAATAAAAATTTAAAGTCATCTCATTTAAAAACTGTGTGAAATTAAATTTCTTCCGAGTAAAAAACATGCGTTCTTTAAATTGTTAAATATAATAAGGCCTTTCAGTATGTTTTGAAATTCCATTATCCAAGAGCTTTATGTATCGATAGTACAATTTCTTGTGGTATGGGCTAGTTAATTCATTTTTATATTAATTTCGTTATAATATACTATATTTTGAAATATATAATTAATAATATTTATATTATTAATTTTATTTATAACTCTTTCAAATTTATATATATTGTACGAAACTATCTAAAATTATCGGATGAAGTGGCTTGGTTCAAATGGGAAAAATATGTCTGTTTCAAAAAGGGTATATCTAATAGAAAAAGTGAATTTTCTAAGAGAATAAACATAAATACAATCAACTTCCATTATAACGACCTTCTAGAGCAGGGTTTCTTAAACTTTTTTCAGTCGCGACCACTTTGTGTCACTGAAATTTTTTTCGCGACCCCCAGGACCCCATAATGTATACAACAATTTTGTGGGACCGATAAGTATTGCGCAAATCTGACACACGCTTGAGTAAAACTCAATTTTTTTCACTTGTACTGTAATATGCTATCGCAGTTTTAGGTCATTAATTTCTAATTTTAAAATATAGAACAATGTGAAAATTTTAAATAAGTAACAGACGAAATGACAGCGTAACGTGTAAAGGAGGGAAAATGAACGTTTATATTATAAAAAGAATGCGTCGAAACGTTTTAGTTTTTTTCTTTGTCTGTATTGGTTTATCTTTATCTATTTTCAGATACATTGTGTAAAAATATTTGGTAATTGTAAAATTATTATAATAAGTTAAAGAAATATCAAAACTGCTAAAATTTTTGGTGACCCCCTTGGGGGTCGTGACTGTTCGAAAGTCAGGAAATGATTTGTAAATATGTTAACTCCCTAAAGTAAAATAAAAAAATAATTAAAAAAATAATTAACTACCGTTGTACTTATTTTATTCTTTGAAGAAGTAGTTATTTTAAATTAGTGATAAATTATTTAAAATATTATTAGCTAAAAGTTTCAT